TTCCTGCAGCTGAAGAAGAGAGAGAGATACTGGGTAATAAGTGTGGAGCAAACATCCAACAGCCAGAGTTTACAAGATTACACGTTTCCTGAGAGAAGCCTCCTACTACTAGGGTAAACCAACACCTCCAGCATACTGTACAGATTCTGTCTATATACTCAAAAGTATATGCATTTCAATCATATTAGGTAATGTTCTAGCAGAGTGCACTGTAAAAAATCTGTTGCTGCCTTAAATATTAAGTATAATTAAATTGGCTGTACAATTGAGCTAAATCTTGTATAACATAAAAAATGTAATTGCTTAAATTATTCTTTTAAAATAATTATTTAAAATGAGTTTCTTTGAGTTTTAAGCGAAAGTAATGAAAAAAAAACGTATTCTGACATGGTTTACTGATATCATTTTTAAACAGTGTAACTATAGTAATGCTTGACAACTTTTGGCTTGATACTTTATCTAATGCAAAGATATTTATACATTGAAGATCAAGGACTGAGATGATGCAAAGGAAACCTGCTTTTAAACAACAGATTTTTAGAAATATCATGTTTGGTTTTAAAGTATTTTGAAAAAATTCACTGACCCTTAATTGTTCAAATACTTTTTGAGGTCATTTTATATGAATGCAGTAGTGTTAATTTTGTCAGCTGTTTTCAATTTTAGTCTTAGTCTTAGTCCCGTGTTAAATGTCCTTGTTAGTTTTTATCATATTTAGTCAACCTTATCCTATTTAGTTTTAGTCGACTAAAAGTCTCAACATTTTAGTCTAGTTTTAGTCAAAGAAAATCTAAAGTATTTTAGTCTAGTTTTAATCAAAGAAAACCTGAAGTATTTTAGTCTAGTTTTAGTCAATCAAAACTTGACATTTTAGCAATAAGATATATATATATATATATATATATATATTAATACCAAAGACTTATGCGCTCACTCTATCTACATTATGAAAACTGGTAAAACAAACGGAAAAAAACAGTGAAATTCCTTGTAATTCCACAAATTCCAAATTGCAATAGCCATTTTCTCTATTAAAACAACAGCGGTTGAGTAAGTGCATTTATTC